CTATGGCCAATTTTGGTTGCGGTCGTTTTCTGCGATTTCGCGGGCGCGCGCAATTTTAAAGGTTGACATATTTAGTGTCTATTTACCCGACGTGACCCCGTCTTTTATAGTATACCAAAAAATTGGGGTGAAAATAAATGTTTCATAACATTTTATAGGGAAACATGTTTTTTTTACAAAATTTAGGGTACTTTTTTTGTTATATAGTAAAAAATAAAAACCCCAGCGGTGAATAAATACCACCAAAAGAAAGCTCTATCTGTCCCCAAAAAATGGTATAAAATTCATTTCAGTACAGCGTTGCATGACGGAATAAACGTCAGCCAAAGTACCGCAGCGCTGAACACTGAAAAATGGCCTGGCCAGGAAGGGGGTGAAACATCGCGGTCTTCAAGTGGTTAAAAAATAGTCAGAAATCACTGGCCTGCAGAATATTATTCTTTGGATTAATTTATTAATCCAGCCTGAAGGTTTATAAGGATAATTGTACTGCAGCGTTCCTTCTATAAGTCTATAGTTGATTTGCTGTTATGCAAGGGCTTCCATGCTATCACTAATTTGGAACCGGTATTAAAGGAGAACTATGGGGTTAGGGCTTTTCCCCATAGTTCTCCTTAGGGTAACGGGAGGACACAAACTAGCGTCCTCCCGTCACCCTAGTCTCAGTATAAAAGCACTCGCCTCATAGTTCTCCTTTAAGGTCAGAAGTTCGGACTTGCCTCTAATTTAACTAGTTGTATAATTGTTTCTGTGTCTGCTACTTAAAATATTTGAAGCCTTTGGATCAGAATAATCAGGCAACTAGAATTTTCAAAATTTAGAGTTTAGCCTATGTATATGGTTAGTACAGCTGCAAAGTGTATAACAGTATAGTACAGTACAGAATAACAGTACAATGCTTTGCAGACAGACAGAGATACAGCTGGAGATGTATTTTCTCTATTACCCATTGAGGAACACAGCTCTGAAGTTTATGCTGCTGCCTCTTGGAGAAATGGACACTAGGCAAACAAAAAATTAAAAGCCTGCCACTTTAAGGACATAACCCCTCCCACCTGCCAGTTTTGCATAGTGTCCTCATGAGAATGGATGTGTCCTTCTCTTCTGCTTTATTATTTTAGTTTCTTTTGTTTCTTTTGATGATATTCTACTAAGAGCTGCTAGTTGATTCATGGCGTATGATAATATGCCTGGGGGTCTCTTTAGCTAGCCGACTGGACTTAGGGAATCATACCGGATAAGTTAAATCCTGGAAGTCTGTTTTCAGTGGGAATTCCAGTGGTGCAATCTTGAGTTTAATTTCCCAGGTCTGCCCATCTGTCATGGCTATCGAAAGGGGCTTCTACTCGCTGGATTTTTTTAACATATTTGATATTATAGAAAACAGCGGTAAGAGGAGTGAGGACCCTTCAAGGTGGGTGGGAACTCCTAAATCTCCATGCTAAGTGGGCATGGATGCAAAAACCATGGTTGGAAGATCTCACTGCTTGAGTCACCCAGATATACAAGAAGTCACCAGGTGCCCATTAAACTTCCCCTCTAACTAACATTTAGGTAGTCTGACCCTTTAAATACACATTGGAAATAGTTGTTAGGTGATGACTTGCGCTAGTTTTATCATGCAGCTTTGCTCTTTAAATGAAGACTAAGCTGTTTGATAAAACTCTGATGTTTACATCAATCCTGTCATCATATAGTATAGTATAATTGCTTGCACACATTGCATTTCAGCACTGCAGTGCGGTGGGTCTAGTGTACTGATTGGTGTTCTAACCTGTCTGCAAGCCTCTGGTTTGACATTAATTTCTTCGATCTTGCTCTCCGCAGGATTCCCACCGATTTGGCAAGCACATTCGAGAATCTCTGCTTGACATTCTGAGTCTGTTCAAGCTGGAGAATAAGTAGAATGGTTTTCTGCTATCCTGCCAGCCTTTCAAACATCTATGAGTTACCTTCAAGGAGCAAGAAAAAAAAAATGCAAATGAACTGATCCAGATACAGGGACCATTGTTTTGCATCTCAGCCACAAACAACCTACAATAATCCGGACTGCATGATGAGTATGGTCTAGCACTGCCTTACATGTATGATCCTACATGTATTCAAGTAGCAGTACAATCACAACAGAAGAACAATCTGTCACAAATGTTCATTTGTCGGGTTTTTTGTATACAGGGAACAATGTACAAAGAGAAATACACGTATAACTCAGAGAGTCCCTGAGTTTAATTGCTTACACAAGCATACTTCTGATGATTGATGTATGACGTGCAATGTAAACGAGCATCTTGCTGGAGGTGCTGGAGATCGGATGAGTTCTGTGCGTGAGCTGGTGCCTTATGTGTTCTGTGCAAGTTAATGGCTTGTTATTGTGAAGTGTAATGCAATGCAATGCAATATTTTTTCCTAGTTATCATACCTGCCAATTGTTTTGGAGATGCCATTAAAGCACCAACAGTTTTTCCTTTTATTTCAAAGAAATCCTTTTTGTTTTTTGCTTTATTTTATATATTTTGCTTGCTTTATTGCTATTGTAACTTAACTGGAGTGTTTGACTTTGACTTGCCATACCAAATCTTGTTTCATACTTTACACATAATTATGTTTTTTTTTCTGTTATTCATCTTTCTCTGGGCCATTCCATAGACATGATCTTAAAGTCGGACTTGCTATGTAGAGGATTCCCACCAAAGCAAATATGGGCTCGGTGTAAAAAATGAAGGGTACGCTTGACTCAATAGCCTGCACCCATAGAATGGTTGTTTTACCCCCAAACCAACATTTAGGTAGAGCACTTGTTGAGGGTAATTTACTAAGCTGGGAGCAGACAAAAAAATATGGAGCGCCTAGGCACGGCAACCTATCCGCTATTAGCATTCATTTTCAAAGCTCAGCTGAACAAGCTGGAAATAGAAGCTGATTGGTTGCCATGCACAGCTGCTCTGATTTTGTCTGCTCCAGTTTTAGTAAATCCCCCCCATTACTGTTATAAGCATTTGTAAATATTAGTGACCTGCCTAAATCTTTCATTGTAAAATCTTGCATGTAAAATCTTTTTATAAAGTCTATGGCTTGCGGGTACAGGCTGGCATTTGGATGCAGAGAACATTGTCTTGGAGTCCACAAAAGATGTACATGGCCAGTGTCCAATTCAGCTCAACATTTAACAGATACTGAAATATAATATGAATGATGGCATATGGATGGAGCTATGAAATCCAAAGTAGCGATATCATCACCAGAGTCCCCACAGGGAAAAGAACCAGCAAATTCAATTATAGGGACTGATATTTATAACGGCTTGTCACAGTAATATCCTTACTTTTATGACCCTAACTCTTTATGGGACATACTTGAGCAAATTTCTACACGGGTATAAAACAAACACCTTCATTTTAGTCTCTCTTGAAGCAAACCCAAAGTGTGCTTTAAAAAAAGTAGTTCAGCTGCCATAGGCTCCACGTAGTGGACATCTATCTCTGGGTGACTTATCCTATTCAGCGTTCCTGGGTACACCCAATCACAGGTTGCAGTGGTATGCTAATTGACCAGCTACCCTGATTTGACCCTAACCCCTGCCTTCAAATCTTTCTGGCCTTTCACATTGATGTGTGGCATTACTGGCCAAATCGTGAAGCTTACTAAGCAGAATGGGCCAAGCTATCCTCCAGAGAGGGTGGTTAATATTTGCATGCCATAATGACCTAGGACTTGGGACACTTTAGGCACTGAAAGTGAAATCAGTCCTGATGTGTAGGTACCAGAAGGTGCCTGCTATGTGGAGTCCATGGTGGTTGAAACAGTTTTTGTCCATGTCGCTTTTACTTTAAGAATCGCACATATAAGGGATATTACTTGGCTTATTCAGTACAACAATACAAGGTGTACTGATGGTGTGTAGCAACACATTATTACCAAATAGAATTCAATTTATTTTAGTCTGGTAAGGCCTCGTTCACACCAAACACAGTACTTTCCGGCCCGATTCTGCCCAGAACGCATTGCATTGCGGCCTGCTCACTATGTTGTGGGGCAGGAGGGGGCATGGCGGTCCATTTGAAGTGAATGGCACCGTATCCACGCCGATCGGCCACACAGGAACGCGAGGCACATTATGCCTGCAGTCTGGTTGGAACAAAATGGCGCTTGCAGCCTTTTGTTCGAACCCGACCAGAGGCACATAATGTACCTTGCGTTCCCATGAGGCTGATCACATTGTGGCCGGAGGGCGTGGCTACGGTGCCATTCACTTCAAAGGACAGCCACAGCCCCTCTTGCCCCACAACATAGTGAGGCGGACGCAATGCAGTGCGTTCTGGCCAGAACACAGTGTCTGGTGTGAACGAGGCCTGAGTAAAAGAGAGCTTCTGATTGTTGGCTTTGTTACAGTATTTTGCATGGTCCTTTTTTGCTTTATTGAATAAGTCTAGTTGTGTACCTGAACTCCAATGCAAACATTTTATTGTGTGTTTTATCTTTTGTGTATATTTCTGTTTATAAATATAAGCACTATGTTACCTCTCTCATTTGTTATATTATAAGATTCTTATACACATGATTTATATAGCCAAATGTTTACCAGCTTTTAGTTTATCTACATTTTTGTCACTGTTTTTTTCACAGCTACTATAAATCAGAATATTGTCCAATTTAATAAGTGTGCAAAGCTTGAGGCTAACCCCATAGATATTCACACTATAACTAAGCTTTTAGAAATCTGCACTTAGATGCTGCTCTTCTGTAAGCTCTATAATGTCAGCATAATTACATTTATTATCAAGTGACCAGAATCTGGCTTCTGCTTATAGGAGAGAGACGAGAACCCTGTTATTTCTGTGGGTCAATAAAAAGGTCAAAATAGAGAAGCTTTTTATTTTATTTTTAAAAAGCTTAATACTCCTTTGTATATTTTAAAGCTAAACCTCAGCTATATATACGATTTTATATATACTTTCACTGGTCCAACTTGGCACAATGAGTATATACTGTATATTTTATCCCTGGTAGGACCATGGGGATCCTGTAAAACACTGTAACTACTATAGTGCATTACAGTGATCTTCAGACTCCTGTACTGCCGCTGTGCTGAACGACTTCCTCTCTGCTGCAAAAACACAGGGGGTCGCTCGTTCTGCACAATAGCCATTTAACCAATGCCTACTATACTTATCTGTGAATACTAGCAGGGTTATTCACAAAAGGGTGAAGAGTTTGGAGAAGGCCGGAGAAGTGAACAATCTAGGACAACATAGCTGAACTGGAAAGGCAGCTATTTTAGCCTAGATTGTTCACTTCTCCGGCCTTCTCCAAACTCTTCACCCTTTTGTGAATAGCCCTGTAGGTGTTCTCTGATTGGCTGAGGAGGCGGTGTTGTGACATCATCAGCCCTTGTTCAACCAGCGAATGCCTTGTATTCATTGATAAAAATACAAGGCACTTGCTGAATGGCCGCTGTGCTGAGCGACTGACCCCCTTTGTTTTTAGAGTAGAGAGCAAGTAGAACAGAGTCGGTACAGGACACAGATCACTAAAGCACTCTAGTAGCTCGGTCTACTAGAGTGTTTTACAGGGTCTTCATGGCCTTACCAGGGATGAAGCATGCATACAAGTATAGGGCCAAGCTGGACCAATGTAAGTATACATAAATATTTATACCTGGAGTTCAGCTTTAAACTTTTCTTACTTGCCACTGTGACTGTTTAATGCCTAAAAGTCAGGGATTACTTGCATGTACACGGTCATGAGAATATTATGCAGGCTGCCATTTCTAACCCCTTCTTTTGAGAATGCTAGTTACCTGGCTGTTATGATGATGCTTTAAATTCAATCATTTCTGATTGACTGACCTGTAAAAAAATATAAACTAACATTTTCAGGAGGAGGCCAGCAATTTCAGCTTCTGTTCCTTCTTATGACAGGTATGCTTTTAAGGAGTGCCTGCCACTTTGTTGTTAACATTGTGCACCAAAAGAGATACATTGGATAGACATGGTGCTTGATTTTAGTTTGTTTAGGATTTGGTGATGTGACATTTCAAGCCTTCCCATGTCTTGTGCGCATGTTTCCAATGCATTGTTAAAGCAAACCGTGCACTACCAATCATGGTCTGTTTTTTTTCCAGTTCCCCCTTGATCCTTCCCTTTTCCCCTTGTCAAAATGCTTTAGTAAAAAAAGAAAGGTCTTGTCTAACTTACCCCAGATTCCATACTGTAGGTGGGGACATCACCTTCTTTTCTGTGAGATCTCAGGGAATGCGAAGTACCCAAAATCTTATGAGAAGACACAGCAGCACAGTGCAGGAGCATTTTCTAATGTGATTTAGGGTACTCTGCATGCCCTGGGATATCTCTGGAAGGATGGTGACGTTACCCTCGCCTATATGTAGAAGGGAATGGTGGACGCCAAACATATGGAGTGCTGCAATTGTAGAAGCAGGTGACACCAGCTAGTGAGGACTTCAAGATATGCAATACCGCCAGCACATACCAGACTCATTGCAGTGCCATTTATTGTTCATGTTGAGTCTGGGATGTGCTGGTAATACTGCGTTTCTTGAAGTTACACTCACCTAAACAATGCAGTAGAGCAGTAGATATATTACCTACATTTCTCCCCATATGCTTTGGGTCTTTATTTTTATTTAATTTTTTATTAGTGTTTTGGCATGGAGGGAGGGGGTGGCATGAGAAAAAGTGGACGTTGCTTTTTTAGTGCAAAGTCCACTGTTAAGTTGATAGGTTTAGAAAATGTTACTTGTGGCAGACAATTAATTTTGCAGCCCATCCACAGCCCATGGGTACAGCCCATTTCATTCTGTAGGATGTTAATGCGTAGGCAGGTAAAGTCAGCACGACACTAGATTGTTACCGGCTAGGCTGCAGACAGCTCAGGAGCCCACAGCCATCGTGGAAGGTGAGTAAGGACCTGCAGGTAGCACAGGTAAAGCTGCCCCCAAAGCTTTGAAATGTCTGTTTGGTATATTTGTAAATGTCAAAGTGGCAGAACCCTTATAGATATGCTGGAGACCATTGATTTCAGGCATGTGCCAGAAAACACATTTCAATAACTCAAGATGTGATATATTTATACCGGCATTCACTAAACATCTTAAATCAAAGTATTTTTTTTACTCTATACTGTACAACCTTTTCTGAGGCAAAACATATTTTTTTGTGATCATCTGCTCATTTTCTGTCATTTGATTTAGGCCACCAAATGGTGAAGATATTTACAACAATGTTGATTTAGCTGATTGTACTTGAAAAACATTTTATGGATAGGTTTCTTGCACAAGTCAGCACAATGTTCCTTCATATGTTTATTAGACAAAATTAGCCTTTTTATTATATTCGACTGGCTTTATGATGTTGTTTGCATTTATTGTGTTTAGTTGAAAAGTTTATACATTGTTTGTTT